TTGGCAAGTTTTATTTTGGATTAAAATAAAAACAAAAATTCAGTGCGGCCTTCTTGAAAAAGCGACCTTTAAATTTTTTAAAAAAGAAATATCTTTTAAAGAAATAATTTTTATACAAAATATAAAAATTACAAGGTGGTATCTAAGAGTTACGATGCGACTAATGACAGGAGACTGGAAAAAACTCCAAACTAAAGCAGCATTTTGACGTTTTTTCGCAGGCCTCCGAGGGTCTGCTTCAATTAAAATTTTATTATTTTTTTGCAGTATATATAATTCTAGTAAAAGTTTTCAACTCTGCTACTCCAGTAACGAACAATTAGTTAAAATTTATTTATTTTAAAACAATTCCAAGAATTTTTTTTCAGAAAACACTACTATTATGACTACTTTTCCGGTTTGTATCGCTCTGCTTGCATATTCAACCCTTCTAACCCACAGTTATCACGCTCAGTACTGTTTTTTGACTGCAAGTATTGTTTTACTGTTTTTGCTCGCAGTAAGCATCCTGATACGGCTCAAAAATCGAAGAAGAAATAAAAAAACAATTAGAGATGTGCTGCTTTCTCCCTTCTCTCGTATATTTGCACGACTGCTGCTACTGTAAATTTTCCCTTTAATATTTGAAAATTATTAGGAAGCAATATAAGAAATCTATATTTTTAAAAATAGCATTATAGAGCTGCTTCAACTATGTTAATTTTACCGTTGCTAACTTGGAGAACACTGATGCGAGAGAGTAGGAGAAACAGACGGTTACAGAAATTTTAAAAATGCAGGAAAAAAGCACGAATTCTGAACACGAGATGACTTTTACGCAGAACGAATTCGGCTCCGCAACAGACAGGCGGTCAAAGTTCGTACTTTCTCTTGCCATTTTCAAATTTCTCTGACTGTCTGTTTCTCCTGCTCTCTCGCCTTAATATTCTCAAACGTGAGAGTTGCAATGTAAGTATAGCACAGTAGCTTCATCTATGCTATTTTTGTGTAGTTTAGGATATCTACACCTATACGGTAATGCCTCCAAACTATTGGAAACAACTCCGCATAAAAGGGTGTCCTATAAATAAGGAACGAGAGGAAAACACGGTGGCTTTTTGATTGCCAAAAACAATTCAAAAAAGAAATTCGTTTTTTTTTATCACTGCAACAGGAAGTGATGCACCACGACAATGTGATACAGATCCATTAAATGATACTGACATCGAATTGACAAGTGGTGTACTCAAAATAGAACAAAGTCGGCGATAAATCTTTTCACCAATCCTTATTCCGGATGATTTCATGACTGCTACAGACAAAAAACGTTGACAGACCCGTTCTTAAAAATAGGGCCACCACACAAAGTTTTTTGGTGTTGTCATGTCAAAACAGGTCAGTTCGGGACGTGCAGATAGTGATTCCAGTAGTTTTATAAGAATATGAAGGGCAAGAAGCACTTTCAGCATCGCATTTTCGAGTACATTCATCGGTGAAACGTATGAAAAATTTCACTACATTGTACTACAAAGCGCTGGAAACAAAAATAGCAGAACAATCCTTGCAGTCAAAAAACAGTACTGAGAGTGATATGTATGGGTTAGAAGGGTTGAATATGCAAGCAGAGCGATACAAACCGGAAAAGTAGTCATAATAGTAGTGTTTTCTGAAAAAAAATTCTTGAAATTGTTTCAAAGTAAATAAATTTTAACTAATTGTTCGACACTGGAGTAGCAGAGTTGAAAACTTTTACTAGAATTATATATACTGCAAAAAAATAATAAAATTTCAATTGAAGCTGTCCCTCCGAGGCTTGCGAAAAAGCGCCAAGATGCTGCTTCAGTTTGGAGTTTTTTCCAGTTTCCTGTCACTAGTCGCATCGTAACTCTTAATGCCGAAAAGATACCACTTTGTAATTTTTATATTTTGTATAAAAATTATTTCTTCAAAAAATATTTCTTTTTTAAAAAATTTAAAAAGTCGCTTTTTCAAAAAAGTCGCACTGAATTTTTGTTTTTATTTTAATCCAAAATAAAACTTGCCAATTTAACTTTCCACAACTTTATTTTTGAATTTTATTGAATCTGCAGGAGCCAGGCTTTCAAATAAGATAAAGAGGAAAATCCGTTGAGAACTGAGAAAAATATAAGTTGTCGAAGATGACTATGCCAATTTAGAATGGTCTAACTTTGCCACCAGAGCATTTTTTGAGATAAACTCTTTCGATCTCAAAATCCGGTATCAATTGCTACAATTG